TTGAACTTAAATTGAATAATAAAGGTACTGAAACTATTTAACCTTAAATTTTTGAAAATGAAGGGGGTTATTTAGTGCTTCAATAGCCATCTAGGTAGAATAAATCTTTGAACAGATATGGTCAAAATATTCTTAAAGACATAATTAATATTTTATCATATATGTGTATTCAGTTTTCTTGACAAGAGTTAAAAGATAATGCGGATTAAAAATCAAACTCGTTATTTACAAGTCATACTCTAATAGTTAAATGCGCACAGGCAATAGAAATGCTTCATATCAAAAAAACAATATGTTAAAATCCTAAATTTCAATTCTCAAAAACTGTTAATCAAAATTTCTTGCAAACCAATGTATAAATTTGTCTTCTTATGGGTAGTTATATATTTAAATATAAAAGATTTTCGTCTGTATCATTTTGAGATATGAAATGTAATTTAACATTAGAGTTCTGATTGAAGCCTACAGCTTGTAAAATACCAAAATTTGTACGAAAATAAATTAATATGCATCTATTTGTCATGATCAAATGATTATAATTTATTATGAAAATTTCGCATAATTACATACTATGATCAAAAAAGTCAAAATATCGGCCTTATATTTATACATAGCACGCTGGGCGCAAAAATGAACAAAATCCATATAATAGTGGAGCTGCAGAATAGAGCTTCATTCGTTCAGTGCTTACATAGTGAAGATGCACCCATTTTGCAAGAGATGCAATAACCTTGTCAACACATAAAAAATCTTGATATTCATATTATATCAAAATAATCTTTACGAAAACAAGAAATAAAGAAGCGTAAACATGCCTATCAATTTACCCATCATAGGAGAGCATTTCATAAATACAATTTCGCTTGATTACCTTAGGAAATTCTTGATTATTGTTTTCAGCTTATATCGGCGCGCGGCTTCGCCGCGCGCCGATAGATGCGCTATATAAAGTACTCACAAAATCTAGATTGAGAGGCGGTCAATGACTTTTGAGGGGAAATTAACGCATGGAATTTAATATTATTTAGGTTGATATTCTTGCTTATTATTTCAGAAAAAAATCTTAAAAATTTCAATATGAAAATTGAAAGCAATTCAAAAAAATTGCTAACATGTAAATTTTAATATCCTATGCATAATTTCTTATTTTGAACATTTTTTATTTTTGTTTAAAACTTAAAATTTTGCGAATTTAATATAATTTATAAAATATAATACGTATATATATTTAAAATACACTAAATTTAATTGTTAATTGACGTTTTTGGTAATGAATTTTATCAAAACATGCCTGAATCCGAAAATTTGAAAGAACGAATTACACAATCATATATGTAGAATTCAAAATACAAACTTAAAGATTGTATACGTTTAAAATTATTCAGATTGTGTTTGATTTCCACTCATTCTGTTTCTTTTGAACTCTAACGTTTTTTTATACAAAAGAACCAAAAAAATATTTTTTTGAAGAATGATTTGGATAGAATACTTTGCGAAAATTATTTTTATTATAATTTTGGTCGATAAATACTGGCGGATTCAATTTTGGCAAACCTCCAAGATTTCATTTTTGGACGATTCCGAATGGTGTCCTTTTTGAATTTTAATTGGAAAAATATATTTGTCGATATATGGAGATACTAAAATACTTAGTTTAAAAATTCTATGTCAAATCGTCACCTTTTCCTCACTTTTTTCAGCTATTTTTTATTAAAATCTAATTGTAAATTAATGGGTAATACATTATGCTATTTTACTTTTTCAAAGCCGTATCAATTTTTTGAGAGAAATTTTCAAGTTCGGAATTTGGATGAAAAGTGAAGATATTTCCAAATGTGTTATTATGTAGAACTATATTTCTCAAATTGAAACATTTTTCTTTTTCATAATTTTAATGTAAAAGAAACACATTTCTACAACTTTTAACAACATATTCTCTAGTACAATCACCACGCACATAGGTTAAAAATTATAAAGTCTCCTTAAACAAACGTTCGGAATCGCTTATTCAAGATTATCAAAAGCATTATATTCTCAAAATCAAATGAAAACACGACACATATTATAGCATACTAATGATATTTAATTTAATACTGATTTCAATCTAATTTTCTCATCATATACATCATAATAAAATTAACTTAATCAGTCATGTATGCCTTATGATTCAACATCGCTTATTCATTAGATTACTTTCTGTATGAGTTTTAGTTTTGAAATGATAGTATTTAGTTAATTTGAATTTAAAATTTTAAATTTTTGAAAGAATTAGAAAGTTTGAGCGGTAGGACATGAACCTTTATACTGTACTGAGCATTTTTAGCTTTCATCAATTTTTTTGGTTTTCGGGACCTTGGGACCTTGCGAAGTTGCATTTTCCCATCAAGGTCCAAAAAGTGACAATTGGTCGTAAGCCTCCCTTAAATATAGTGGTCACGGAAATAAATTCTGTAGGGTCATCAAAAATTAAAGGGTGCTTTTAAGGGGGAGATGTAAACTATTAAACATCCGACCAAACGCCGATCCTATTTTTGTGGCTCTCAATTCCTTAACGTCTGTTCAGAAAAAAGTATACGTTTAGATATATTTGAATGGTTTACTTTTAAGGTATAGAAAATCCAATTCCAAGATAGTATTATGTAATGATTCTGTAATGAGAATCTAGTTTTAATAATTTCTTCTTCTAATTTTTTATATAGAAAATTGAATTTTTTTTAATAAGGAGCTATAGCAATTCATGTTAAAGCCAACTTTGAAAAGTAACATCTTAATGATTTCCAGCTTCTTTCATGAGTTTTAGTAAGTTGTTGCTAATTTATTGAAATAATATGGAGAGAAATCAACGGAAAATCAGGGAGCATGCGCAGCAAGCATTACAGTTTCTACCTTTTGAGTTCTATCAGTAGATTTTAAACTAATAATACATTTTGCTGATGACTTGGGAAAAATAAAAATTTTAAACGGGCATTTTTCAAAATTAAAATTAAACATTGTGTTTAAAAAAAAAAAAAAAAAAAAAAAAGGAAGTGGGGCTTCCAGGCACTTCGTGCCCTCTAGCCCTGAAGATGTTTAGTATAACTTTGTCCGGACAAGTAAGGGTCTATCGTCGCTACAGGAAAAGTTACAGGCGTTCCAAGGAAGTATACTTTGAGAAGCCTTTTCTCCATTTTAAAACAAGATAGGACGGTTATTTTACAAAACTGACAACACTTTGACCGAGTAGTTTTTTGTGCTGAACAAAAAGTGTCATATAAACATCTGTCAAAAACCGTTTTTTACTTCACTTAAAATGCCACGTAAGCTACGTAAGAATATACGTAAGAGGAAGAGAGCATTGAAACATCCAATAGTAAAACTGACACCACAACAACAGTTGCAACAACAAATTATGAATGACCCCACTATGTTGCAACAAATGTCAAGCAACCCTATGCTTTTAAGCCGAGTTATTGGTGCACAGAGTGGAGGTTTAAGAGCGGCACTTTTAGCGAAAATGGCAGGCTATGGTGGAGCTGCAGACGGAACAGCTTATAACCCTCAAAGTCAAATGAATTTGAGTTCACTCAAAAATCAAATAACAGATGTCAAAAAGTCAAACATAGACATACAGAAACAAATAAGTGAAAACGAAAAGAAACTAGAATATGACAGACACACAAAGAAACTCAATGAGTTAAACGTAGAGAAAAAGAAGAAAGAAGAACAACTGAAAGAACTAAGTACAGAGGAATATGCGAAAAAAGTGTCAGAAAAAGCAGCAGAAGTAGCAAAAATGGAACAAGATGTTATAAATTTGAAAAACCATACTACTCAATATAAAGTACTGAAAGATGAAGAAATAAAACAAAAAGCCCTGAAGACATATATGGATAGCGATGAGTATAAAAAAGAAGTTGAAGCAAATGTAAAGGCAGAAAAACTTTTACAGTTGCAAAACCAAACCGTACAGTATGAAAACTTAGCACAAGAAAGTAAAAAATAACGACGCGGCTATGCAAAAGGCAATGAAAAGCGCAGAATATATAAAAGCTAACAATGACTGGTTAGATGCCCAAGCCAACGCTAAAGCAGCCCAACTCATAGGGTCAATAAGGACAAAAATACAAGCGGATGAAGATAGTTCAAATGAAGCTTTAACAAATGCTGACTTTAAGAACGCTTTCGAAGCTCTTCATAGTAAGGTGAAACAAGTGAACGATTTCTCATCTGGAAAGAAACTGAAGTCTGAAGGTTTCGACAAAGAGTTAAAAGAAGTAGCACAAAATATGACGAAAATAACAGATGCAGCAACGAGACAGGCAGTTCAAAGTGCCTATGACGCCGTTAGAGCAACTGTTGTGAAAAGTCAAGAAAAAGTTACAACAGACCAAAACAGACCTAGTAAATGCTTTCTTAAAAACGAAAAGTCAGGTAGGACATTACGCTGCAGATGGAACATATGTGCCAGCTGGTGGAACTTATATACCACCAAACCCTCCAAGAGAAGCACCTGCACCAGGACTACCTAACACATTTACATCGTCACATGGACATAGACACAGGCATGCACCACAACAACAACCAAAACCAACACAACAACCAACACAACAACCAACACAACAACCAACACAACAACCAGCACAGCAACCAACACAACAACCAGCACAGCAACCAACAGTTCAAAACCCTGCACAACAACAACCACAAACAGAGCAAGGACATAAAAGAGTAGAGAACAAGGAAACCAAGAATTCTTAAAAATGCTTAAAGAAGAGTGTGGTTTCCCAGATAGTATTGACTTTAGTGACAGATATAAAGAAGCTATTAGAAAGTTCAAGGATGGAAATACTGACCCGGACCTATTTAGCTTTATGGCTCAGCACCAAAACGGATATAATCTCAAACCTGGAAAATACAAGCTCGCTAAGGGATATGATTTAATAGCATATCATCCAAATGACATGAACGAATTTACTCCGAGATATTTGATGTCAGAGCTAAATGACAATTCAACTTTCGTCATGAAACGCGTAAAAAATAGAGACGGAACGAAAGAACAAAAGCTTATGAATGCGGATGACGTAGATAGGGAAATTGTTGAAAACGGTCTCGGAATATATGAAATGCCAGCAGATGAGGTACAAGAAACTCCACAGGAAGAAGTTCAGATACAACCAGACATGGAAGAAATAGTTCAGCAACAACAGCTAGAAGAGCTTGAAGGAAACGAACAAGTCCTTCCTTTGGAAACTAACTTCACAGAACTAGATGAAGATTTGGAACAGCCGAAAAATCTTGACCCTCAACAAGAGTATGCGGAGAATATGGAATATTTCCAAGAGTCTAAAAAAAATTCGGCTGACATAGTAGAAGAATATCGAAAAATGTTTGCCGACATACAAAAGACTCCAACACAAGATGAAAATATTCAGCATAGAATGGAAGTACTGAAAGAAAATGTACACAAATACAACAACCCTTTTTACTTACGAGCATTTAACGTTCAATCTTCGGATGAACTCGGTGAAAATAAAAGGTTAAATTTCAAGAAAACATATAGAAATGAAACATTGTTTAAAGTTCATTCAGAACCTAGCCAAGATGGAAACAAACCTACTTTTGTTTCTGCAGACGATGGAACTACAATGAGATGGGGTCATAAAGCTAATCCGGATAGGTGGTTCATAAACTTACAACCACAATTCCAAGAAGTTGTAGACGCAATGGAAGTCAATGGTGAACGAGATATAGCTGGTATTTTAAGCGCGGCTTTAATGCCATTGAAAGATATGAAACATGCAGATATTTTGGACCAGTATGAAATGAACATGGCTGATGGAAATATAACACCTGACGTTCTAAAACATTTATCTCAAAGAACTACACAGAACCATAGAGATGGTATATTTGGTGAAGAGTTTAGAAAGAAAGTTAGGGAGGGCGAAGGAAGAGAACCTATTGTACATGACCTTGCAAACGAAAGTTTACAAAATGTCATAAAAACTTACTTTGCAGACAATGAAATGAGAAGGGATGAATATTTAAGAAAACTCAAATGGACAGTACCAAATGAAATGTTAGTATTGAAAAACATGTTCCTTGACAAAATAAAACCAACTACAGAAATAAACGACGCAAGACTGAAAGATTGGGTAAAAGCTTTCCCATTCACAAAAGATATAGTTGGTAACATGGAAAGAAAACCAGAATGGCTACAAAAACATATATTTGGAAACGAGCTTATTCCATATGGACAGGCACTGTTTGAAGAGCTTGAACCGGAAACTCAGGAAAGAGTCATGCAAACAATACGCGAAGACTCAAATACAAACTATGACAAAATCTTTCTAGGATATAGGTTACCTGAGATGGGCGACCAGAGCCAAAAGGCAAAAAGGACATGGGAAATTTGCAACATACTAGATGAACATAATGCAAAGATGCAACAACTTCAAGCAGAGGGCAATGAAGGAAAAAGAAGAGTTAAAAACTCAGTCAGGAAGAAAGTAAAGCTTGGTCGGAGTGGGTTCTATTATGACATATAAATCCAACTATTCTATATTTTTACTCATATGAAATGTACGCCGCTCAGAATATAACGCCAACAGTTTTGGATGCCATGAATGGAATGTTTCGAATGGTATAACGAATGCGACAATGCCATTAGAAGGTCAGAAATAGTTCCTGGAACTTACGAATATACAACTGCTGTTTCTTATGGAAACGTAGGTGAGTTTGGAGAAGGTTCTTCAACAACAGTAGATATTGCTTGCGACAGGTTTCATATAATTTCTATTGACAACTCATTCTTATACGTGGAACAAGACATTGAAATAAAACCTTCTGCCAAGTTGTCTGACAAGAAAGGTTGCAATGGAATTTTCTATGTCGGATACCAATATGCTCCAGAAGTTTTCATGGGATATAAGATATATTCTAACTCTGACTTAGTTCAAACAGTAACATGGGCAAACTATGAATGGTTCGCTTTGAGAAACTCAGTACAACCACAAGCTAGAGAACAAACAGACCAGTATGCAACTATTGAGAAAATAAGAAGACTTGACCCTAACGTTCCAGGAGTTTATGTTAACCTTTCTGGACAAACTGCAGCAGCAGTAACCAAAGTAAAACTGAAACTTAGAGTTCCTTTGTCATCTTTCCTCATCTTCAGGTTTTTAAGATACTTACCAAACTGGGCAGGAAAATTTCTATTGAACTTACTCCAAGCAAAAATAACTTAGTCATTGCACCAACACAAGACCCATTCACTATTACAGACGTAGAGGGAACAAATAAAACGTCATTCGCCGACTTTTGCAAAGACAAAGTTGACTTAGACTTTGGTTTCTCAAACCTCAACACTGAAGTAAACTATTATTTCAATGCTGCTGGAACTGCTTGGGACCCAGTTAAGTTCACATGCGAAAAATTTGAATGCAAGAGAATAGAAAGCAGACTTGCAGTCTATATGTTGGACCCAGATATTCAAATGCTTTAGCTGCCAAATATATTGCAGTTCCACTTATGTTCCCTATACACCAAATATCTGTCAAAGACTTTGCAGGTGAAGTTGGAAACCAAAGTGCTGACCCAGGTGCAAGAACAGATATTGCTTTAACAACTGCAATGAAACATGCAGATACTATGTTTGTACTGTTCAGACGAACTATAAATGACTATTCTTGTTTCTACAACCCCGGTATTAAATATCATATAAACATAGATGGCAAATATTATCCAAGAGAAGAATATTCCACAGTTGAAGATATGAGGTCATACAACTTGACATTAGATGCTATGAACTTTAACAACAACTTCACAACAACCATTAACCCTGAAATGCAAAGTTCTATTATGCCATATGTGAAAGTATGGACTCATACAGGAGGTCAAAAAACTCAATATACAAATGGAGACCGTTCAAACTTTTGGCTTGGCATTCCATTTGCTGACTCAGAAGACTTTATGGGTGGTATTTCAACTGTTGGTACTGTACAAATACAATATACTGGTGACAGAGACGGTCCAGATGAATTGAGAGCAAAGAAGTTTACAAAACCAATAGCACTTTTCACGGAAGATGCTCTTTTGAAGATTCGTTCGATGAAACCTGCTGGGGCTCCTCAGATTGGCATAACGACAGCTTCCATCAAGCAGATTTTGGCAGCAGGTCAGTAAGTTGTTCTTGAACTGACTTCTCACCATCGTAAATAGTTATGACACCAGTTTTGACATAATATTGTATTATAAACTTTCCTTTAGTAATATCGGTCAGTTTTGTTGTTATATTTTTGTCTGCTTCAAGAACTTTCACCATTTCATTTATACCAACTTTCTTTGCTTTATGAAAATATTTAGGTTCAGCAAAGACTGCTATTCTATAACATTTTCCATTGTTTGTGTAAAGAACTATTCTGTCAATGTATTTGTATTGTTTGTGTGTGTAAACTTTGTTTTGCTTCAATTCGAAGAGATACTCGAATACGTCCATCTTTTTATTCTAAGTAAAATGTCATTTCCGAAAAATAGAAGCGTAAGTGTTTCAAAAGGTTTAATGGCGGTGGCAGATGTGAAGTTAAATTCACCAACTCAAACAAACAGTCAAAGTGTTATTGTCAATGTCAAAGACAGAGATGTTGAAGTGGGGAAACCATACGAAGACGAAGATGGTATAACAATAGTTCCTGTAAAAGAACAACCAACATACCCTGAAGTTAGCAGAGACTTAAGTTCTGTTGCAGATATTCGAAACGACTACCAACACTGAAAGACAAACTTCAAACTCAGGAGAAAGATTTGTCAAGCTTTAGGTATAATGTTAAACTTGGTCGAACACAACCCTGTAAAAGTGAACTCATATGTCATTGCACCTCGTGAAGTTTTGAAAGAACTATTGAAACTTTTGACAGAGGCAGACGATATAAACATCAAAGAAATAGAACCCGACATTAGTTGCTGTGGTGTTTCATATAATGCCATTGACAAGATATACGTTATGAAAGGAGGTGAAACGTTGAATTTAAAATATAGTTTCCCAGACGTTATAAAAATATTTGACGACCACAACATTTCATTAAAATTTATTTGCTAAGTAAATGGCAGAAGATATAATGGTTTATACTATTACGACTAAAAACCCTGAGTCATATAATTCTATAACAACAAACTTACAAAGTCCTCAAGGACGATATTGTAAACTAACCTTAAACACAATGACGACTAAAGCCTGTTTTGCTCTTTTGACACCAGAAGACTTTATTGTTGTGAATGGTAAAAAATACTCCTTTGAAGATACTTACTCAGATATACCACCAACAGGTTTTGTTGACTTATTTAATACTTTACGTACGAGTGTAACATGTGCTGCAACTAGAGCAGGTTTCATTATGTTTGGATGTCCGACTGAGTTTACTATTAATGATATGAGCTATAATACAAAACTTATTTCTGGTTTTTACTACCAACAGTTTCCTATAACAGGAAAAGGTGTCATACAAGGAATGTCTATTCCATTGACATTAAGCACACCAATCTTATATATTGTTTCAAACTTAGGTTCAAAGTGTTATTCGAATGTCGACAGAAACTATTATGACCAAAAGATACTTATGCGTATAAACAATACTTTCTCTGCTGGTTTGCCTATTGTTCATTCGAATGCAGAGTTTTCAGCTTTAGTAAACTCAAACACTTTAGCAAACATAAACTTAACCTTAGTTGACGCAAACTTTGTTCCTGTAAAACTTTTATGTCCTATGTATTTGTCAATGACGGCAGAAAGTTTCGAATTGGAAGATGCAACTGGTGAAAGTATTGTATTACAAGAACAACTTCAACAACAAATAGCTCAAGAACAACAAATAGCTCAAGAACAACAAATAGCTCAAGAACAACAAATGCAACAAATAGCTCAAGAATAAAAAAAATTTTTTTTTTATTTTTATAAAAATGTACAGAATAGATGTTTCAGATTTTTATGACTTCCAAGCATTCAGAAATATGTGTCCATTTCGAGACTATAACAAAGCAGTCGAGAATTTGAAACGTTTAGTCATTTATGTCGACTCTGCCCCAGAATGTTATGTTATGAAAGAATGGGATGTTGTCTTTAACAAACCAAGAGCAACAATAGTTTCAGAACAAGAATGTAAACAGAAACTTAAGAAAATAAAAGTCGTACAAGTTGGCATGAAGATGTTAGATGCTTGGGATATCTTATTGTCAAAACTTGAAGATTTTTCAGTTCGAGGTATAAAGTTCTATACACCATCTCCAAACTTCTATTCTATCTTCACTGGATATAAATATGAACAAGTAGAATGGAAAGAAAATATTATAGAAGCTTGGTTAGACCATGTCAAAGAAATTATATGCAATGGAAACGAAAGAGTCTATGAGTATATCTTATGTTGGTTTGCAAACATCTTACAACATCCAAGTGCTAAAAATGAAACTGCTCTCATTATAATTGGAAAACAAGGAACAGGTAAGAACACTTTCTTTACAGATATTTTGTGCAAACTGTTAGAAGGTTATTCGAACCCTAATATGACAAACTTAGAAAACATCTGCGGTAAATTTAACTCTTCAATAGAGAATATGAAACTTATAGTATGTAACGAACTTCAAAGTATAGATACAACAAAAGTTTTAAACTCAGATGCTTTGAAGAGTCTTATAACAGACAATGTTGGAGTTGTTGAAAGAAAATATAAAGACCAAAGAGTTTGTGAAAATGTTGCAAATTTCATTATGGTTTCAAACAATGCTGTTCCGATGAAGTTAGAAAGTTCTGACAGAAGATATGTAGTTGTCAGAACGTCAGAAGCTCATATGCAAGATACAGAATATTTTGACGACTTAGCAGAAACTTTGACATCTGACTTTTACAACCACTTGTTCTCATATTTTATGACATTAGATATTTCAAAGTTCAATCCAAGACAAATTCCACATACCGAAGAGAGACAAACATTGTTAGAAGCAAACAAGAGTGTATATGAACTGTTCATAGATGAAACTGACTTTGAGTGTTTAGATGAAAGGTCATTGTACGATTCGTATAAACAATATTGTCAAGAGTATGGTTATATGACAGCGTCTAAACGAACATTCTTGGCAAATGTCAAAAGTCTTTTAGATGTTCAGAATGGTGTATATACAAAGAAAAATTTTTCTGAGTAAATTTAAAAAAAAATATTTTTTTTATCCGATAGAAAAGATGACAAAATTCATCTCAGTAAACAAGTACATGTCAGGACTTAAAGAAGAACTAGACCCATTCACATATTTGAATGTTTACTTCTACCATTTTGAAAAGTCTTCATTCAGCAAAGTTTGGAACATCGAACCAGTTAAGTTTGCTATTGTGACTAAAAATGGTGCGAAATTTGAAGACTTAGACATAGAAGGTTTGTTAGCAGTCAAAGAAAATTTTGACAGAAAGTTCTCAAACCTTAAAGAAGGCAAAGCATACAAACTTGTTATACCTTATGAACCAAAGAAAGCAGACGACTATGAATATTATGAGTCTAAGATAGTTGAAGTTCAAGGTAAATTGGGTAAAAAGATTTTAGAGTCTAAGCCAGTGTTTGCTCCTAAAGAGGAAGAGAACATTGACATTGACCCTGAAATGTTCTAAAAATAAAATTTTATTTTTACATGTCATATCTCACCTTCTCTGGAACTGGTTCAGGTTCTTTCTTCTCTTCTACTTTCTTTTCTTTCTTTTCTTTCTTTTCTCTCTTCTTCTTTTCTGGTGGAGTTATGTCAAATTTGGCGCAACCATATTTATGTAAAAGTTCTTTGTCCTTTAATAGCTCATTTATTCTGTTTTCTATTTCATCTTCAAGAACAGCGCATGTGTCTTCTTTGCATTCTAAGAAATTTTGTTGGACTTCATCTTTCCAAGAGGCGTCATCTCTGTCAACAAGTCTGTCATTGACAAATTTTAAGACTTCTCTGCCTAATGTTTTATGGTTCTTGTCATATTCCCAGAAACAGAACTTTAGAACAAATTCACCTTTCTTGTTTACACTATGTAAGATTTTATGGTCGACAGAAGTTTTAGAGTCAAAAAGCTTGTCTCGAATATAGATAGCGAAATCACTAGACATTTTCTAAAAGATAAAAATTTTAATTTTTCTAAAAATATGTTAGAAAAAAAGTTTGCTGACATTGACAAGAAATTTGAGAATGTTTTGAAGAAGAACAAGAGGAAGTTAGAAAATGCTCAGATAAAGCCTATACATGAAAAGTTCTTATTTGCTCAGAATGGTATAACAGGTCTAATCGCACCACCTGGGTCGGGTAAGACTTTCACTTATCTTAAAATGGCTGCACAACAACAAGAACTAGATGAGAAGAACCCATTCTATGAGTTAGTTGTTATTTGTAGTACTTCTGGTCAATTTGACCAAACCGTCAATTCGTTCAAAGATATTATAAAGAAGTCTAAGTTAGTATGTATAAAAGACTCTGAGTTGTTAGATTGGATAAAGAAGTACCAAAGAAGAGTTTTGAAGTACAATGCTATAAATGAGTATATAAATTCTAAGTTTAAAGACCCAAATGAGGAAATGCAGAGAATATTAGAGAAGAAACACTTCAGAAACAAACAGAAAGAGATAGAATACATTTCGAAGAAATTGCAATCTTACGATTGGAAGACTTACCCTCATAGATGTCTTCTTATCTTAGATGACTTTGCTTCTCATCCTTTGTTAAAGAACAGAGAACAAGATATGTGTCGAATTCTTAAGAAGCTCAGACACTTTAACATCTCAGTTGTCATTTGTGTACAGACAGCAAAGAGTTTAAGTAAGGATGTAAAGAGAATACTTACTGACATTATACTTTTCCCCGGATTGTCCGAAGACGATTTCATGGAACTTATGAAAGAGTCCATGGCAGGTAAGTTTGACAGACATGAACTATGGGAGAAGTACAAAGTCATACAAGACCCTCATACTTCTTTCAGAATTCATATCTACGCAAACAAAGTTCAAATTGTAAAAAGTCAAGCTTGAAAAATAAAGAGTTTTGGCGACTGGGGTTTCTTCCCTACTCGCTGTGCTTCACGATTTTCATGAGTTTTAGGCAAGGCCGGTAAAAGTCGGTCTAGAGAAATTTCACGATTTTCATACGGAATCTCTTCTCTCGGTTTTTCCGAGGGAAGCAAGCATATGCCATTTTACTCAGAATTTTGGTCATTTTTCAATAAAAATAATGTTTATGTTAGAATGTTAGATCTAACATGTTTTCTAACATGTTTTCTAACATGGTCTAAAACATACAAAACTCATGAAATTTCATACGGAATTCAGCAAAAATAATGTTTATGTTAGAATGTTAGATCTAACATGTTTTCTAACATGTTTTCTAACATAACTATTTACAAGCGTTTTACATGGTATATGTTGCGATGGTTCATGACTCTAAACAGTTTTGTAGCTTCTATTTCTTCTGTCAGTATGTCAAAAGTTTTAACGATACCGAAAGTTTCTTTATACTTCTTCTTGACGTCAGATAGAAGGAAATCGTCAGCAGTTGGATAGTTTTTGTTCAGAAATTCTAACATGTTCATTTTATCTTCTGCTGGTTTTTCTGCTTCTTTCTTTAAATCTGCATAGTCGTTTCGCATACGTTCTATCTCTTTGACGGAGTAGTTATATTTCCTCATTGCTGCTTTACATTTTGAACATTGCGGATTCATTTTTGCGTTATTTCTGAAACCTTACCTGCTAAAACAACTAAGGCGTCAATGGTTTTCTTCATCTCGAACATAGCGGGTTTTATTTGTTCGTTCCATACCTTACCCCTACTATCTTTATCTCTTATTTCCCAAACACATTTTGCAACTAACGAAACAAAGTTGTCGTAGGTCTTAAATTCTTCGGATTTGTAAAGGTCAGAGATGTTCTTATATACCATGTCGCAATCTTTGTCCATAACCTTATGGTTGCAATGAAAACCAAGGAATTCATAATTTACCTTTCGTATGAACTTCTTTATTTCTACTGAGTCAGTTGCTTTGACTTCTATTTCGTCAAATTCGGGAATGGTTAGTTTTTGTTGTTGGATTTCAGGCAATTTGGGTAAATGGTCAATAATGTCCTGCATTTCATAAAGATACTGTTCATTTGTTTCATCTTTCGCACTACAGTCTAAATTACTTGTTAAAAGTTCTTGCTTTATCTTCTGGATTTTTGTTTCGAAAGTATATGAAGAAGGAATGAAGTTTTTCATCTCTACTAACATAGATGTTGGATTCATAACTAGCGAGTTTGGTGCTGTAGTTGTTTGAATTGTTGTTGTGCCGATTGTTGAAATCATGTCTTTTATACAAAATAAAAAAAATAAATAAAATAAAAAATAAAACTAATTTTATTTTTTATTTCGGGAAAATTCATGAAAATTCAAGAGTTTTAGACCATGTTAGAAAACGTGTTAGAAAACATGTTAGATCTAACATTCTAACATAAATTATATTTTTGGTGTAAATTTCATGAAAATTCAAGAGTTTTAGACCATGTTAGAAAACGTGTTAGAAAACATGTTAGATCTAACATTCTAACATAAACATTATTTTTGCTGAATTCAGCAACAAAATTCAAATTGTAAAAAGTCAAGCTTGAAAAATGTAAGTGTTTAGTCTTAGTAAGATGGTAGCTTCTTAAAGCAAATACCATTGCTGAGTTTTATGTACGTGAAGAGAAGTACAATGAATTCAATTACGAGTACAATTGCAATGACAACTAAGGCAACTATTTTTGTCTTTTGCCAGCAAGGGTACTTCTTCTCTTCCAATGGTTCGGCAGAACTATACTCACTCATGAGAAATGCCAAAACGGTTTAATAGAAAAAGTGTCATTTTTTCATGTCCGAAGACTCGAAGGTGCAACACTTCCAAAATACCGACGAACTCAGAAGAGCAGCATGGCAGTATCTTCTTGACAACTTCTTTGAGTTCTCCAGGTACACCTTGGAAAATGCTGAAGAACTCCGACACAGAGAATTTGGAGAAATTGCACTCCAATACTACCTTGACAAACAAAGGGTAAACAAAGGGTAAAATAAGACTAAAAACTTAACGTTTAAAAAGTGACATTTTTATGAGCTCCGAGTCACCGAGAAAACTTGGTCAGATGTTAGCAGCTTACTTCCCCGAGGAGGATGGAAGCGTTACATACATCAGGTTCAAAAACAACGAACCTGGAATTGCGTACAAAATTCGCAATTACATGACCATGGAAGAGTACGAAAGGTTCCTACAAGAGAAACCAGCTCTAAACAACTCAGAAAAGAAAGAATAAAAAGTTTAACTCGTAATTGTTTATTTTTTTACTTGTATGGGCAAGCTGCAAGAATGAAGTCGACTATCTCAGTCTTTGTCTTGACCAGTTGGACTGCTCTTGCGAGTACGTCTGTTTTGCGGTCTCCAGCTGGTGTCTGACCTTCGTAATTGCGCATGTTCTTGAGAGCTCCAACTGTAAATGATTGTAGGATGAAGAGTCTCTCAGACTGCTTGAGGTAGTCTTCACGGTCACGAACCGAATCTGTGGTACGAGTCGAATCGGTCGATTTGAGGGAAGAGACTGAAAGCCTGTCGTCTTCCATAGGGCTGTGGCATAATCTTTGCGTAAACGGTTCAGACCTTCTTCGAACTCTTGGTCTCTCTTGGATTGAGATTGGAATTGCTGGGGTGGAGCTTGCTGGAACATCCAAGGGTTGGGAAGTAAGGCATAGGCTGAGGAGGGTAGTTCGGGAAGCCTTGTAGTGGAAATTGGTAGTAACCTTGAGGTGGAAATTGGTAGTAATTTGGTGGAGGGACTTGCTGGAACTGAGGTTGCTGAGGTGCAGGGGCTGGTGCTTTAGGTTCCTCTGGTTTGGGAATGGGCTCGGTTGGTGGACGTCGGACATCTGTTTGTGGCTTAACCGTCGGACCACAACGATAAAAATCTCTGCTCCTAGCAGTACTGCTACTGACAGTAGCAGTACTTTTACTGACAGTAGCAGTACTTTTTCTGACAGTAGCAGTACTTTATCGTCGAAAACCCTCTCAAATTTTCCTTTTTACTGCTCCTAGCAGTACTGCTACTGACAGTAGCAGTACTTTTACTGACAGTAGCAGTACTTTTTCTGACAGTAGCAGTACTTTTACTGACAGTAGCAGTACTTTTTCTGACAGTAGCAGTACTTTTACTGACAGTAGCAATGGTCGAGGTCGAACCTACCGACGAGGCAATTTACCTAATTGAAATTAACGAGCTTGTTAAAGACTTCCTCAGGCAGAATGTAAAAGGCAAGCTTGTTAACTGTTGGATAACGGGAAGGGCTGCCTTGAATCTCGAGACTTCGACTGGAATTCCAATTCAAATACCAGACGGGACAGCCTACGACGACATAAAGCAAGCAAAGAAAGAAGCTCTTCTCAAGTTCTTTGCCAAGCGTCCTTGGATACAACTTCCAAACAGAGAGAACCCTTTCCCAAGAATGAGCCAAATTCTCAAGGGTCTCCTTCACTTCTCGGGTCAACCATTCTACATAACCTGTGAAGGCGACATCCAACCAGTTCAGTAAACCTTAACGTTTAACTTCACTTTTTTTATGTTTTTACTCACACTCGTACTCAACAGGTTTGTGTACAACTATTTCAACTGTGAACCTTGTATTGACCGGTCTTCCTGTAAATGCAAGTTTGGTCAATACACAGTTTATGGTGGCAAGAAAGACAGTGGGGAATGTTATTCTGACATCTGTTGTTGCGCTCGAGAGAGATTTGAAATTTCAGAGCCACCTCCCCCAAGAACTCCAACACCAACACTCAAGTTGCCAAAGACTCATGTGAAGAAGAAGCCTTCTGGTAAGTTTCTTATCGCCATATACATGGCACGCTTGAGTAAAAACATTTTTTTCATTTTTTGAATGAAGCAAGTTAAATTCGTCCCACACCAATCTCAATGGACCGATGAAGAGTTTCAAGCCATGGTTGAAGGCGTTGAGAACGACATAGACGGCGAACTTGAAGGAGCTCAAACCACAATTGCAACCAAAATTGCACAAGTCAAGGAACAGATAGCTCCACTTAAAGCTACCAAAGCTACTCTTGACCTCATGGATACTTACCGTTTAGAAGTAAAGAGTGGAATAAGACAATTAAAATTAAAACTTCTAAACTACGAAGCTATACTCCAAAAGTTAGCAGAAATGAGAAGACTTTACCAGAGCTACTTACATGTAAGGGACTTACCTTCATGCAGTCCGACCAAAGATGAATTTTCTGACATTGTCCCAATTTTGTCCGAAAGTCAGCTCAGATGTTTCGAACTGCTCCCAACATATCCGGAATATGAACGTTTGCCTGAACTCTTCCGCAATCTCAAAAAACGTTTTTTGGTTCTCATGTTCGAAACTTTTATCGGAAGAGACAACAAACGTTCAGAAGAAGAACAAGATATTATTTTAAACTTGTTGTATGACTTAACCGTCATAACAAGCTTTTTGAAGTAAAACCGTCATTCTCAAACCACTTCATTTTTTCGATGTCCGAACAAGCACCGAAGCCAAACTCAATGGCAGATGTCCTTTCAATGTTGCCAGACAAGCGCCCAGTTCAAATTCAAATTTTGAATTTGAAAGCTCATCTGACAAACACCGTTAAGACTCTCCAAAGTAGTCTTATGACAGAGATGACCAAGCTCAAAGCCGATGTCCTCATGAACCAAGCTTCCAATGAGAAATGCCTGAATGATTTAACGGAAACCTTGCGCATTTACGCGAGAGAGAACCGAGACCTTGCCAGACTCATCTACCGTTTCTTCGAAGAGATAGACGCCATCTGGAAGGTACTCGGAAAGGACAGAACATGCAACACCGTAATTCGTGAACACAGAATTGCCGAAGGTATTATCAAAGAAGAGGAAGAAGAGGAAGAAGAGGAAGAAGAGGAAGAAGAGAAACACGAAGAAGTTCCTGAAGCCGCTACATGGGCAACCCTTGTTGCCGATGACACTTACGAAATTTCCCAACCCTACCCATACCAAATCCGCAACAAGGAGACAGGCAAGGTTCTTACCCCAGTCCTCAACAACTTGGGACACTTGAACCTTAACCTTCGGAATCGCGGTTCAATCTCCATGGGCAAGCTTGTCGCAATTCAATGGGTTCCAAATCCAGGCAAGAAGACGAAGGTCAGACACATTGACGGTGACAAGCTCAACAACCGTAAGGAGAACCTCGAGTGGTTCTAAGAGTAAAAAAATTTTATTTTAGGGGGAAACCCCAAGTAAATTTAGGTGTTTATTTGGATAAGTATGTTAAATTAAGGTCAATTTGCAAAATTAGTTCCCGACCTTTGAATTGGACTCTTTCGTCATCCCAGTTGCGTAGGAGGTCGTCCCAGAGAGTTGGTAGAATTGCCAATCCAAGGACGATTTGTCCTCCCAGGCATTGAGGATGTACTGCTCGTAGAGTTTCATGACCTCTGCCTTGCACCAGACACCCTCTCCCTTGGAACGTAAGGCTCTTCGAAGTGCTCGAATGCGATTGGCTGCATGACCATCCGAAATGACACTTTTTGTCCGTTTGGTCAATGTTCGTGTCTCGTGCCATAGTCGACGAAAATACAGACAAACAGGTTATATATGAGTTTGAGACCAAGAATGGTGTAACTCGACCTGTCCGATTCAAAGACTCCGAGGGCGACCATGAAATTAAACGGAAATTAGCTAGGAAGGAATATAAAATGGACTGGTTGCCACCACCTCCACCTCCACCACCTTTACCTGTTCCTCAAGTAAATAAGCCTTTCCCGTTCCAAGAATTCCCACATTTTAATTCAAATTCGAATAAAAATTTTTTATTTCATGCAATGTTTTATTTCTGTGCCGTCTTCAAGTATGCCCAGTACTTACGCTTGGAGAGGACATGAACTTCGGTGAAAATTTTGTCCAATTTGAATTGACCCATCTTTTCACCGACCATTCCCATTTCAATGAGTTTGTTGTATAGCCTTCTTCGTTCGTCATGAGTGCGTCAATGTTCTCATAGTAAACCTTCAACTTTGGATTTGACTTCCGAGAAGAATTTGTTGTAGTTGTCAAGGACTGCTTTTGCGAACTGAGGGTAAGACCAATGTTCGACAATAGGTTTTAATGTGGTTACTAAGCCACTTTGACCTTGAGTGAATTCGTACTTCAAAACAAAAGGAGAAAACCTTTCAACAAAGTTGTCGACCTTCTCATAATGTTTACTCTTCATCTCTTGAGGTTTCTTAATGGAATATCCCCATGTCGAATTTCATAAGCAATTTGAGTGTCATTGCAAGTTTGGGG